TAGATCTAATCCAGAACTGTGTTCAACCAGTATACACACCCACAAAAAAATCAGTGTAAGGTCAAAAAAGTATGCCTGTCCATGAAGTTAACCACATAAAAGAAGACCATCCTTGTGCTTGTTTTGGCTGGGATAGAGTTAATTTTCTTCATAGTAGCTAGTATGAGGCTATGTTTTGGATTTGTGCTGAGAATAATGTTGATAACACACTGATGTTTTAGTTGCTGCCAAGCAATGCTGACATTAAGCCAAGGACTTCCCATGTTATGCTGGTGGGCGGGTGCACAAGAAGCTGGGAGGAGGCATAACCAGAGTGACAAATCCAATGGCCAAAGGGATATTCCCTGTCATCCGATATCATACTCAGTATATAAATACTATATACAGGTAGCCGGGAAGCTGTCGCTCCCTCTCTCTTACAGGACTGGAGTTTCAGGACTATCTCTGCTCTGAGATCACTAGCTGGGAACAGGCTGGGCCTTGGTCAGCAGGTGGTGAGCAGTTCTACTGTATATTGCTCATTTGTATATTCTATTATTATTATTATCATCATTCCCATTTAAAATTTTATTTCAATCATTAAATTGTTCTTATCTCAACCCATGAGTCTCTTTACCTTTACCCTCCCATTTCCCTCCCCCATCCCGGGAAGGGTGAGCAAGCAGCTGCATGGTGGTTTTGGCTGTCAGCTCAGTTTAAACCACAACAGTCCTTCACTACACTTCCGTTTTTAACTTGTGGATTTCAGAAAATGGTGAAGAAAGGCAGGAAAATATCAGAATTACACTACATTCAGTGTTCTGTGTGGTAGTTACTTCCTCGCAACTTTTGCATGAGGGTTATCTAAACAGTGTTGAGTCCTGACCTATGCTAATCAAGTTTCTGAGCCTTTGCTTCATGCATATTCACATGGATAGTCTACTCTCTGCTGTTTTAATGGACACAGCAGCAGATAACTTTTCATCAGACCACTCTTGCATCTTCTTCTAGCCAAGATAAGGCAACTTTTGTTGCCAGAAGCTAACAGAAAAAAAAAAAAAAAAAAAGAACCAAACAACTTGTTCTGTTCCTTTAATTTCTTTCCAAAGCTTTTTTTTTTTTTTTTTCCTCACCATTATAAACAACTGTCCATGAGCTTTTCAGTCTGATGAAATACAGCAGTTCTTTATCACCACACTTACAATTCTGAATGTTTTCCCTAGGAGGAGCGACAGACAGAAACCACTTTGCAGCACTGCTCGGGCACTGAGGTCCTGTGATTCCCTGCACATCACAGGCTGGCAAAGAACTGCACATAAAGGAAACGGAAAAGATTGCAAAGGTAATTTGATATGATTTCTCCTAAAATTTTGTTGAAATTTTACAGTGTTGCATTTTGGCAAATCTTTCTAGAAGCTTTCTTTGGAAGATCTGAAGCAGTATTCCACTAACTAGACATTTCCAAGAAAATAACTATAATTTAATCTTCCTTTCTGGGTTTGAGAGCCTTTGAATCCTTTGCTTGACTTACTATCATTCTATATTATGTCTCTCATATTCCTCTAAATGTGCTGTCCTCAGCTAAAGCTATAAGCAGCACAGAGACTTAAAAGCATTCTTTTAAATATATATATGCATTTAATTAATTTATGTTATAAAAAAATTGAGGACCCCCTTTGCAAGTGCACTGCAGGAGGTAGACGGCTTTAGTTCTTTGGTTTAATGACAGAGTTATTCCAAGTTGAAGACCGCAGGGGTGTGAAGACCCTCAATTTCATGTTCTGTACTGCTGTAATGAAGACTTTTGCAATGAAGACTACTGTACTTTAATGAACATTTTGCAGTGTGATTTACTAACAACCTTGATGATGATGGATAATGCATTTATACACACTCTAGAGAGCCTGAAGAGGCAGTAAGAATTTTCCTCTTCTGATTTTTGTCACATCTTACTTTCTGACAGCATAAATACATACAGACATATATTTCTATATGTGCACACACAGATATATATACACACACATAAATACACAGACACACCCTCCACAGTTGAGCAAATGTTTGGGGATCTCACTTCCCCTGACATATTCCGATTCCATTTTCTCTCCCCACAATTGTCAGTACTGCTGTTTGTCTTCCCCTTCTTTCTAGCCATCAGTAGAAAAAACTCCAGCAAAATTTAGCTTGAACCTGACTTTGGACCCATTTTTGCACTTCGCTGCATCCATACACATGTGCTGAATCTTCCTTTGCTGTGAAGAACAGAAAGGCATGCTTTGTATGTTCCACAAGCAAGAATAAGACGGGAAATATGGAAAGCAGGTAATTTTTAAGTGCTTGCTGTGTACTGTTAACCATCTAAGGTTACAGCGTAACATGCTCATTTAAGTACCCCGTAACAACTATAGAAGAAACATGTCACCTTAAGTATTCCACTCAACCTATCACAGAATGAGACAGATTGGAGGTACTTTGAGGTGGTCCCACCTTAAATAAGGAAAAAAAATTTAAGGCAATTAAAAGCTACTATTAGTTATCTGCCCTATGCCTTTGCCAGAGGTAAGTACACCAGTATCAGACCTCTACGCAAGCACACAAGATTGCAAATGAACTGGATTTACCTCAAAATGGATTGAAATGAGGCAACAACAACAGGTATCTTTAACTGCCGCTGTTCAGGTTGCTGCACTGAACCGTGCAGTTGGGCTGACACTTGCAAACAGGCAGCATGGACAGTCCCTCATTGCTTAACATTGCCATTCATGACTGACAAAGAAATAAAATCTAAATACTCAGAAGAGTTTTATCTTTATATAATCAGGTTACCTTTGAACTTGCAAGCAGAAATACAAATCCCAGTGAAGCATAAAATCCCTGTAAGAGTAACTTGTATTTAGCTGGGTAATACCAACAAGCCTCAATCACCTCTGACGAGATTCTGAATTCAGTCTGAAAAGTTTTATAGTCCACTCTTACAAGGAGAAAGAAGAAATTACAGGGGGAATGGGGAAGAGAGTGAGAATTAACTGTACAGTATGGGGTAGAAACATATGCTATTTATCTGTCAATTACTCTAAATTTATCTAGACTTTGAATACTAAATTTAAGACTGCTCTATGACTTCTGCCTCATTCTAGAACACATAGAAGACAACATTCTTGCAACCTGCTACCATGGGAAGAAGAGATATTAAATTTTATTATCTTCCATTCAAATTGGAAACATAGTAGCAAAAAAAAAAAAAAAAAAGATTCTCAACATGAACAGAACAACAAAACCTCAATAGTTTGCTCAGTTTGCTCAGGCAAACTGGTAGCCAGTAATGCAATAGAAGTGACCAAACTAATGAAGTCTGATAAAGATTAGATCAGGCTTGATATGAAAGATTTTAATGTTTAAGTATAAAACTTGAAATCAGAAGCAAAAAAAAACCCCACCATCTGTAGGTAAAAGACATGCTGGTTTTCTTCTTTCTCTCTCTCTTTATTTTTCCCCAATAAGCTGAGCCTACAAAACATTCCAGGATAGAAAATAGATATTTTATTATTTTCTAAGAAATTATTTTACATTAAGTAAAATTAATAATACTAATCCTTTTCTGCAAAATTGGTGTCATTATGTTTCAACTGTTATATATCCTTATGAGGTCGAATAAACAGAGCTAGAAGAGTTGAGCTCTGGGAAAAGATTCAATTAAACTACTGGGATTCCTTGGAGATATAAGCAAATTCAGGTACTTAAAGGTGATCAAGTCCAACATTGCATTTTCATGGAAAGAATATGACAAATTCAACCAATATCCTCATAGATTTAAAAACCAAAACCAAAAACCATAAAGCTGATTGGAAGTCTACCCATACCAGACATTGCCAAAAAGTCAACACAGATGCTGTACGAGAGAACTGGGCAGATTATTTCATATTTAAGAACTCCCCAGGTACTCCTTTCCCAATTTAATCTAAATAATGCCCAGATTTAGGAAGCATTCTTTTGTCTCTGCTACCAGTTAATTCTCTTGTTTCCTTGACATCTCTATGGAGAACGATTCATTCTTGTTTAAGGTTTACTAGAGGATTGCGCTGGTGGAAAACAGTCACTCTCTTCCAAGACTAATGTTAGAAACAATTCTCGACCAGTTGTCAGTAAATGCTATAGATGTTTCTCATAAATTGTGTTTGCTAACTTTCACACTCCTCTTGCCATAACAAAAAGTACATATGCACACCAAACCCAAGCTGAAACACAGCAGGCCAAAGCAAACATTTAGATACAGTAAATTCTAATAAACTTACGGCATACAAACTGCCACTTTTCCTCAACACACTGAACCAGCTTACAGTCTATTAATGAGTTCTCTAAACTGAAGTGGCACTGCCACCTTAAGACACAAGGCCAGCATTACAATTTTCACTATACTAGAGTAGTAAAAATTTTTTTTAAAAAAATTAACATCACTTTCTGATTTTTTTAAAAAGATATGCAGTTAAGAAAAAATTTAAAATAACACAGTGCAAGAAATGTACTGCTTTATTTAATTCTATTATGTTATTACTATTTTTCTCAATTAAGTAGCAATTTAGTTAAGAAATTTAGCTTGGGTTGAGCATTTTAACACTCAGTAAAAGGCATCACAGTGAATCAATGTTCTCCAATTCTGTCCATAGCAACTTCAAAACTGCACTACTTTCGTAACCCTTAACTTCCAGCAATAGTGAAAATACTTTTAGTATCTAGACAGTTATTATTGACATTTACATACAGAAGGACTTCTAAATACCCACAACAAAAAATTCGACTGACAGAACAGTTAGAATATTAATTGAAGTAAAACTCTTGTCAACCTAGCACAAACTCCGAATAATTTAAAGGACCCAAGCCATCCTCTTATTCATCTAAAAATGTAATACTCCACCACTGTGTTTATGATATGCATGCCAAAAAATTCTTCAACATTGGACAAGATATGAATTAACTTTTAAACAGTTACTTCCACATCATTGTACGGGGAAGAGCAATCTTACCTTTAGTAGAATACGCTTCAGCAATCATCCGTAGCCTATATGGTGGCACTGCAGCTAGCTGCAAGTCATCAACTCCAACTCTGGCATATGTGTTCAGAGCTTCTTTGTAATCACCTTCCACATAGTTTAACTTGGCCATAATTAGGTTAGCTTCTTGTAGGAATTCTGGCTAGAAGGAAGAGGAATAAGAAGGTGTTTTTTTTCCTGAGAAAATACACCTACTTGCTTCTGATAATTTTTTGGTCTGCTTTCTGCATATATTCGCTGGAAACAAACCTCATGATATTTCTTGTAACCGGGCAACAAACCAACAAAATTCTGTCATCACGTAATATTTGGGAAGCTCACAGTAGGGGGCAAATCCACAAAATCTCACTCCACCAATCTAGTAAAAAGCATTACCAGTCATTTTATATGTTCACATATTTATTTACACATGTGCTAGAAATACCTCTCAGTCAGAATCCAGTTCTGCCAGGTGACAAAACTGTGTAAAGGCAGCCTATCATTACCACCCCTCCAATGATTTTTTTCTAACACCACAAGCACAGCTGAAAATAACAGCATCAAAACTTAATGATACATGTTCCACAGCCAATATGTTTAATTCACACAATTTCAAAGTATCAGGGCAGAAGAAAAGTCTTGAAAAAAAGATTCATGGAAGAATGAGGAACAAAAAGGATGAGAAATTAATACTCCCACTAATCACAGGAAACAAAACACTACAGATGACTGTAAAACAAGGTCCTTTTGGTCTCTCAAAAGACGGACATTGAGTACAGAAAACATGTAGCAGCTACAACAATAGTCAAGTAAAAGAAGAGTCAGAATCGTTAAGAACATCAAAAGGTTATGACAGAAAATGTTCTCAAGTATTAACCTCACTTTCTACACCCACAAACATAACTTAAGGAACCTCTCCTGAATACTTAAGAGACTATGAAGGAAATCTGACAGTATTTTGCATTTTTTTAACACTTCTATTTAATGCACTACAGAGAATAATATAGTCATATACTCCAAGAAAAACTTCCACAAAACAGGTTGTAGGTACTTCACTTGGGCATCCCAGAAGTCAATGTCAGTTTTCTTACTCTTCTAATGAAAGAAGATTTGAGAAATTTATCCAACTAAAAAAACACGAAGAAACAAAAGGCCATTAAATAATATAGTGCTGTTGACATTCTGGGAAGAGCAATGACAACAAAACACTACACAAGCACCTTCCACATTCTTCTTCATGATCAGAGTACTCCTGATTTCAGCTTTTCTAATTCTTGCTCAGACTGACTTACATACCTTTAGGTTTCCCCTGTCAAGCGCTGCCGTGAGATGTTTCCTGACCTCAGTCAGCTTTGGCCGGGGTCCCCGTGGACTACTACTCTGTTTAAGAGCGTTTTCCTTCAAGAATTGTTCCAGTTTGGACTCCCCAAGAAGAAGTTCTGCCATGTCATCTGTAAATAAAACCAAATACATGAAATATCATACATAATTTTATTTCGCTAATGTTTCAGTGGAGGCAGCCATTGCCTGAATTTTAAATACAAACTAACCAAAGCAAACACAGTGTCAAGTATTCAGATTTAACACAAGTCATGTGGTACTTTGTTTTACTTTTTAATTTATCTTTTACCTACCTGATTCATTATAGAATGAAGTCTCCCGTGTTCTAAGCTATAATGAATTAGAACGTTAACCTGAAGTCAGTATTCTCCACTTCCTCCTCAAAAAGCAACACTTGATCCAAAAGCATTATATGTAGCTTTCTGAACAGGACAAGATTCACTTCTGATGTTCACTTTACCAAAAAAGCGGTGTGTGTTTCACAAAATGCCTATTGTAGTTTGAAATATGAATACTACTATTGGATTAATTCATGCAACTAGTTTTAAGTTACAAGTCCCTCATGATGTTGATCACCATTCATATCTCAGCTGTAAGAATCTAGATATCACTCAGACCTTGTTAAGGTTCCAGCCATCCCAAGTCTTCAGTGTGATCATCCCTTTCTCATCATTGTCACCACTTCACAGCCATGAAGTAGAACATAACACCAGGATGCTCAGCAAAGTTGCAGCTAGCACGTTTGTCGAAATCCAAGAAACTGGTCATCTTCCACCTTGCCCTTATCCAGGACCACTAAACTTATTTTGCTGAAACATGCTGAGTAGTTCATCTAGTGAGAAGACAGCTGTAAAAAGCATCACCTCACTACCTGGGACTTGAAAAGACAAGATCACATCTTGAAAACAATGTCTGAATAACCTAAATTTGAATTAACAATAAATAAAAGATTTTTTTAAAAGGGGAAAGGCAAAAAGCTAGCAACCAGAAAAGCACTCACAACCCTATAATCTTTAGCACTGTCCTCAGAGGTTATGGGAAGGGACAGAAAGACCAGGACATGCAGAATTCAGCGTTACTGTAGAGGAAAAGCTCTCCCTCAGGAAGTATAAATGCATCAGCACTGTCTCACCTTTTTAGTACAGTGAATGTCAATATTGTGTCAGTTGGACTAGTATACGATCCATGTACAATGCCATTACACAGTAAGCTATAAGGAACAGTGCTGTCCTGTAGTATGTCCTACCAAGTAGAAAGACAAAAAATCTAGAATTTTTTTTTCCTTAAAACCTTCACCTAACTGCTGGTTCTTAAACCACAATTTCTTCAAGAGGCAGTTTAAGAGACCAGACAAATAGCAAAAGCATAGAGGGACTGCTTTTTTTTTTTCATTTATGTTTTTTATTTGATTTACTGGGAAAGATATCCACGGTAATCTGGACATTTATTTGTTCTCAGCTACCATTCACTCTCATTTTACTGTTTAAACACTACTGCAGAAGGGAAAGATCTCAGCATCCAGATGAAGACAAGCCACACCACAGATGCCGCCTGGTTACCAGCCTGCTTAATTTTCTGGCTTTCAGACCATAGTTCTCAAATTCATCAGCCTCACATTTGCAGTAACAGTTCCATTCCTTTGCCCACCAAAGTTTATCCTGATAACTTCATTTCATCTCTAGATCAGACAACACCAAATAATCTGAAGTGTCACCTTCTACCTGCACCTTCTTTGAAGAGCACCTTTATGTCTCTTCATGCGTGTTTAGTTTCACCTAAACTGTGCAATTCCTGCCCAGTTTATCCTCCCAACACCACCACACTCTGAATACAGTTTTTGATACATGCTAGCCAAAAACATGGGTTCCTTGAAAGATAAGGAAGGGGAAAACAAAGTATCTCCCTGGTGAACCATTACTTTAGAGGCATTTGAAAAAACAATGACACTTATCTTTCAAATACATATTAAAAGCATAGAGTTCCCCATTCAAAGAAAAGAAAAAAAAAAGAAAAAAGAAAAAAACCTACCACTCAATAATACAGCTACAGTATAGCAATAAAATTTTATTACCCACTAATTGCCAACCAAAAAAATGCTTTTATTTACCTATTCAATGCTCATATGGCAAAAGGCACAGTTTGATATACATCAATAAGTCCATCATACAATTTGTACATCCTTTAACAAAGAAGTTGATTGGTTTTTAAAGTTTGGCTGAAATGTTTTCATCTCAAACACCTCATGTACAGTTTAATAAAAACAAATAAGAAGTTAAACAAATTCTGACAAATACAAGGGTTCAAAGTTTGTACACTATAGTATTTTAGATGCAGTTTAGGGTTTGCTGCATTGAAGGTTAGCTAATCTCCTTGCACACTGGAAATTTAATGTTCCTGAACAGAACTAGAATAAGAAGGATCTATGGTAAATAACAATTATTTTGGTAATGCACAAGAAACCCATTGTTAGCTGCAGCAGGAAACAAGCAAGTTAAAGAGGACTCCAGCACTTGGTCTATCAGGACTGAGCACATTTAGGACTTAATATGGCTTGCAGTCTTTCCTGTGTTTAGAAAACAAGGAGGGAAAAAAAAATATTTACTGTAGTGTGAGTTTTACCAATGCAGAATACCAGAGTACAGTAGAAAGCAGGGAAAGGGGCAGCAGATGCTCTCAGCACAAGCACCTGGAGGGTACCCTGGATCCTCCTTCCTGACCTTCTTGGAAATAGCCATACGTGCCTTTTTCCAGTCACCAGGAATCATTCTTTATCACCAGGACCTTTAAAGAAACAACAGTGTCCTTGCAATGACACTGACCAGCTCTTTCAGCACTGACACAACCCATGTGGGTATCAGAGACTTGCATACGCCCCCTTTGCCCCACAGAGTCATCCTCTGTAAGGGCATAATGCTTCACTTGATGAGACTTTTCCATCAAATGGAGTAATTTTCCATCAATATCAACACATTTTCTGCAAGCACTGATACTAAAAAGCACAAATGGTAAAGACAATTGTCACTTGCTGCAATAAAGCACATTTTCTAAGAGAAGCAATATGCTAAAATTAGACTTTTTTATTTTTAAAGATACTCAGCATCTATTTTGTTACAGTTTATTTTCTGCATGTTCTTTCTTTTCCTTCAAACAGAAATCTTAGCATAATTGACAAAATATCAAGAGCTTGCACAGCTTCAGCTTCAAACCAAACAAGACATTAAACTGACCAAATCTAAACCTGGCATTTTGGACCAAATACCTTTTGTCCTTAGTCCAAATTCCACATTTCATTAGCATAGCCACAGTATTATTATAAACAAACAGTAAAGTCAGATATTACAACCAACATTACCCTGCTCAAAGATGTTTTTAGCATAACGGTCTGTAGGACTGCACTTTCTGCAACTGTTCCATCTCTCTGGAAATCAAAGAGTATAAACTGCGTGCACAGAAAAGACAGCTGGTTTTGCACACCAATGCAAGGCATGTTAGTCTTTGGTGTAAGGAGCTTAACATCTGTGTGAAAGGGTCTCAGAGATCATAGGCCTGCTCCAAACTTAAAAAACTGTGCTTTAGACATGACACAATTATTTGCCTTGCAAAGAATAGGTAACTGAGGGGTCCTTTCAGTGCAGGCATTTTACTAGTAATATTCAGAAGACTCCCGAGAGTTCCAAGTACACAGGTTTTGTTTATGAGCCTCTTTAAAAAGGTGTTTTTTAAAAAAAGAATAGGCTTTGAAAAGAATACTTGAGGTCAGCATAGTAATTTTCTACTTGGGAGAAGAACAATGAAGATTCATTTTGCTAACTGTACTTTTAAAGCTAAGCAGTGTAGTCAACATGCGGTCTCTCCGGACACCACTCAGACGCACCAATATGATGATCAGTGAATGCCATTTATTGTGTGTTGCTTACATACTTTTATACAGAGCTCTTGCAGATTCAGCAGCTACTAATCGGATACAATGAATTTTCAGACTATAGCAACGACACTGTTATTGGTTGGCTTTAGCTATGGGAACACAATCTTTGAAATAAGTTATACTAATTAGTTACTCTCAGTTCCTCCCTATCTTTCCCACATCCTGCAGAGTTGCATACTTCTGCACATCTTGTTACTTTTCTTCTTTCTCAGGATCTTTATCAACCTCATGGCTACAAAGTCCAAAGTCAGTACCATGAGATCATAGTTAAAATTCCATTTCAGCATAAAACACCCCTACAAGCAGTGACTTAAAAATGGATAAAAACATGTCAAACTGTTTACTGTAAGTTTTAAGGGATGTGCAAGTAGATACTTTCTCCCTGATCTGTACTTACCAAAACCAAAGTATTTCATTTAACAAGCAACATCCCTCTTTCCTTTTATTCAGTTTAATGCTTCGCTGAGCAAACTTCATTTCCAAAGACGGCTGAGGAAATACGAACGTCAAACACAGCAAGGAATCCAAATGACACTCTAAAACCAGTGCTTTGGTTCGGGAGCTGAAATACCATCAAGGCTGTTTACAATGAAAAGTGTGAGGTCTGTCATTGACATTTTTCAACACTTCAGACAGCAGAACTTCACACATGCCAAAGAAGAAAGTATCACACATGCCTTCCCTCTCATATGTATACCTTTAAGTAGGTCTCAAAAATTCTTCTGGCCCATACTCCTGTAACAAACATTTCTGTAATGAAGATAAATACAGCAGATCTATCTTTATGGAGAGACAGTTAAGAAACACAGCGAGACTGTGCACCAGCTGCCTGAGATGTTTTGCTTATATATACTGCAAAATTGTCACGGAAGCATGTGAAACAACTAGTTTGGATGGTTACAAAAGATCAGCGGAAATCCTGAAGAACAGGTTAAACACTAAGAAAAAAGAAAATAAACCTTGCACTGTTAGGTGTGAAAATGCATTCCCTGAGGCATGAGGAGTCTTAAAACTAAGTGCTGAAATCACCCCTATTACTAAAGGGGAAAATAATAATTTTGCCTGTAACCAAAGAACAGCATGACATACGCAAGAGCAGAGGGTAGCCATGCTCCCTTCCATACTCCAGTTGCTCAACAGCTGCACCACAGAAAGAGGAAGACCAGCTATAGAAGCTCCA